CCAAAGTCAGAAGAAGAGACTCTGCTCTCTGTCTGATTCAACACACAGGGATGAAGTGAAGGTGCAACTGGTTTCAATGATGTAATTAGTGTGTGTGGTGTGCCAAAAGTGCACACATATACTGTATACATACACAGTCCTAAGAGTCATACTTATGTGCCATGATTTTAAGAGCTCTAATAGATACACACACACACACACACACACACACACACACTTTCCACATGTCCACGGTCACCACATCCACTTGCTTCCCTAAGATGGAAACTATTCTGTGCTTTGTTCAATAGCTTACTCACCCATTCCTTCATGCCTTAGATGGGTGGACACACACACTCATTTACCTGCCAATGTGGGAACTCTAAATAATTCTAAAAGATGTGTTGACCTTCACCTGGTTTTCTGTGTCAACACCAACAACAGAAAGTGGACACTTGTTTTATTTTTCCCCTCTGACTCCCAAAATAATCTTGAAGCTCTTCTTTGGCTCATAACAGAACTTCAAAGAGAGATATCAAAGCATTCCACGTTAGAAGAGGCATTTAAGAAATCAGTTTTAGGTGAAAGATGAGCTAACATGTGGTTTCCGTTATTTATTCCGCATTTCTTCACTTGATTCAAGTGTAGACAAAAGGAAACAGCTCGTGGAGGGCAATGGACTTGGTTTACACATGGTGTTTCGGTGCCATGAGCCACTGGTACATCCCAGGAATAACTTATCAGTCTTAGATTTACTTATCAGAGAAACTCTTTCCTTTTGTTGTAATGCATTACTCTTTATTGTGCCTCAAATTTGGCCCCTGGAGCTTGCTTTGTCATTTGGTCTCTGTATAAATTATTCTGCACTTTCTTGATTCTTTACATCATATTCAAGCAGCAAAAATGACAACTGAGACCTCTACCCTCACACACACACAGCCACACACACTTTTCACAGCCAGTGACGGCCGCCCACTACAGCACTGACATAGAGCTATAAGAATCACATGTAGTCATGGCAGGTGCCGTGGCACCCTGATGTGCCTCAAGATCTGTGGACTTTTTACTGTACATTTTCAGCACATAACAAGGCAACAGTTACATTAACCTCTATTTTTCTATCATGTCTGGTACTACTTCAAATATATCAGTAACATTTCCTCCTCATCTCCACACTCCAGATATTACATTTCTTTAGTCTTATCAGTGTGTTGTTCAGCACGGCGTGCTCTCAGGCCCAGGAAAAGAGAGGGAATTGTCCAAGACTAAAGAACAGGCCACCTGCACAACGTAAATCAGGCCTATAAAGTGAAGGCAGTGTAAAGGTTAAAGCAGCTGCATAAATGATGCTCCATTGAAAAGCTAGCTGAAGGAAAGTCTGCCATGATTGTGCTCGTCCAGCAGTTTGTCTTGTCCCATTTAACTGTCCTCCTGGCTGGGGCTGACCGTGGTTTGGTACAAGAAAATTTATGTCTCCACTGATTATTGAGCTGGTCCTGTAGAGTCTGAATGCTGCCTAGATTGGGTCACTAGTATTTACTGGTAGTCTAAAGCACTTTAGATAAAAGCCAGTTTAAAGCACTTATTGCTCCCATACACCATAAACCAACACGGAACCATAAAACAAGTCAAACAGATGGCAGCTTCTAATCTTTCCCCCTAATACTCCTAATGTGGAACATGTTATTTAATAGTAAAGATGTTGGCATTAAGCCAGAAGGCTCACACCACAGCTAAGAGATTAAAATGATCATTAAAAGCTTCCGCTAACAGCATTCACACAGCACATATCACCACACACAACAAATGGAGGTCTAAAATGAGTGATCTGATTCCATCGCTCTGTCATGTGGCAGGAGTTTAACACCCACTGAGTGAGTGATGGAGGGTGAACCCCGTGTGTCTGGAGGATTGTCAGGTCCACAGATGACTGCGAGTGGAATAGGCGCCACTGAGAGCAGCTGTCAGGACAGAAATACAGTAGCAAAACAGTGGGGTGAAAGGGGAAACCCTACCGCCTTCCTCTGGCTTCTGTATGCAGCTCACTGCGCCGCTGAGAGAGGGAACGCGGGGAAGGCAACAGGCAACAAGAAAAAGGAGGGAGGGAAGGAAGGAAGGGAGTGTGTGAGAAGAATTAAGACAGTGGCAGAGATCTACCCCTGACATATAGATTAAGGTCAGACTGTAGAATTTTACATTTGTTGGGGTGGGGGGGTTGCACATACTGTGGTTATGTATCTGTATACCTTTACTCTTGTATCAGTATTCTGGTATGCAGTGCAGTGATTCGTGATTTAAAATGCAGTTGTGTGCTTGATTCGTTAGCATCAAGTATGGATAAGGTTTAATGAAGTTTGTGGCATCAAATTACGACAGTTTTTCAGAAATAAATTCAACTGCTGGGGAAAAAGAAGAGCAAAAACAAAGCATGACTCCGACAATTATGAACAATTCTCCATTGAGCTCTTTTTGCCTTTACTGTATATGGTCAAATTTAGGATGACAAGTTCCCTTTAACGCTCTTTGAATGTGTCCTTATGTCACTCCGTTTGTTCGGTCTCTCTGATACTCCATGTCGCTTGTCCTCACACACACACACACACACACACACACACACACACACACCTAGTAGCACCATTAGCATAATGAAGAGCGTCACTATCAGGTTAATTAGTGGATGGGATTCGAGTGGCATGGCTTAGGGAGAAAGGAGGATGGTACAATAGACAGGAGAGGATAGGAGAGGAGAGGGAGGACAGGAAGAGAGATAGTAGACAGGAGGAGAGGAGAGGAGACAGATTGAAGGAGAGGAGGAGAGGAGGAGAGACGGGAGTAGAGGGGAGGTTGTGGGGTTATGGCAGGTCATGTGAGGGCATCTGGATGTTGAAATCACACAAATACAGGAAAGGCTGCAATTAAAACCTCTGTTCCGTCTTTGCTCGATTAAAAAAATAAGCGGAAAGGGAGGGAAACAGAAAAGAGGAGAGGAATCAGCAATAAGTTCTGCCTCAAATGCGGTAGCTGAGGATTAGTCTTCCCTATGGGAGTTTGAATCGGAGCATCAACACACAATGAAAATCTACACTCACCCCCTCCCTCCTAACCTCATCCCTTCCAGCAGGCGGGTAAATGTAGATACATAGCCAGAGGAGGGTGCTACGTTTCAGAATACCAAGGTCATGGTGTACCACTGAAGTTCCAGCCTGGGAACATTTGCGGCAGAATCAGGCAGTGCTGTGTGAATGTGCATACGTGAATACTGACTCTTTCCTGACTCTGTGTGTCAACCAGCAGCCTCTTGTCATGAGTCTCTTTTTAGCTTAGATCTATGGTTATATAAATGATCTTTGATTGGCAGATGTGAGCACCAATCGTGCTCAGTTATGTTAAAAATAGATCATCCCACTAACTGACGAGGTTACCAGGAGACCATCGTTAACTTCCTAAATTAAAGTTTGGATTAAGAAAAGAAGGAAGTTGAATTGTAAGTGCAGCCTTTGTGGAGAGCTGCCTGTGATGAATTAAGACATTTCCCTCTTATCATTGTTTCTGGTAAACCCATTAGTAACTCTTGTTTACTTCAAAACATTTTAATGGCTGACAAATAATGTTCCCTTCCCCTGTGGTAAAGCTCCCTGCCTCTGACTGTTGTGTACCCACAAATCAGTCTGTTCCTTCTGCACACAGAGGAACTAGAAAGTCAGCTAGTTGACTTCCAGGATTACAACTCAGAACTGCAGGAACTGCTTCATATTAATGCTCAATTATTAGATGTATGTAAAAGCCCTGACCTTGTGTTACAATCTCTGCTTGTCTTTTATCCTCACAAGGTAACTACAAAAAAAATAGAGCTCATCGTAGGATTGGATAGTTGGATATTCTGAATATTTTGCCAACCTGGAAATCAAATATAACTAGGCCATATCCCTACAACAAAATGTGGGATTCTTACATCTATTTAAACCGAATTTGATTAAAAACTGCTCATACTGTAAATGGGTGTGGTCTGCAACTACAGTTTGTGTAATAAAAACCAACTTATGACGTACACCTCCCTGTCATGAGCATATTACTGGAAAGCAAAAGAATGTCAAAGTGATAACAGGGGCTTTTTTATCGCTAAATCTCATGTCGATGTGGTTTAGAGTGAAGTACTGTGTTATGTACATGTGTTAAACTACAACAGGGCACAAATGGTTAAGGCGCATCCCACATACTGGCAACCCCAGTTCAATTCTGACCAGGAACTTTTGTTGAGTGTCATACCGCTGTATCTCTACTAGGGGTGTAACGGTACATGTATTCGTACCGGACCGTTTCGGAACAGGACTTTCAGAACGGTGTAAAACGCACATACGAACACACAAACATATTAAGTGACGAACCAAATCTCCGCCTTGTACTTTAGCCAAAACATCTCTGCGTCAGCCCAGCCTCTAGCTAGTTAGCGTCACGGCCAGTGCAGAGAAGCCAGAGCTTGAAGACCCTCTCTTATCATTAAGGTCTCCTGTTTGGGAACACTTCGGTTTCCTAGTGAAATACATCAACGGACAAAGACAAGTCGATAAGACGAAAGTAGCGTGCAGACATTGCTCAGTAGTGATCGGGTATATTTCTGGCAACAAGTTAAACATGCCAACGTTCACTCATTTCAAACGGTACCACATGGATGTGAAGATCACTGCTACAAGGAAAAAAACGAGTGTAGTGCAAATGCAAGGCATTTGAACAGACTGTAGACTGCACTTTAGACTTCACAAAAGAGATTTAAATTTTTTTTTTTTATCTGACCAGGCCAACATTTGCAAACTAATTTTCCCCTTACTGTACCGAAAGTAAACCGAACTGGTACATACCAAACCATGAATTGTGTGTACCGTTACACCCCTAATCTCTACCCTCATTTCCTGTCTGCCTCTCTGCTATCTAATAAAGGCAAAAATGCACAAATAACCTTAAAAAGAAACACATACACACACACATACACACACACACACACATACACAGTGGGAAAGAAATACCTGTGTCCTGGGAATTGAGCACCTCCAGAGCGTGCATCATGGCACTGGCGAATACGTTGGCATCCTCCTTGCTACCGAAGTTGAGGCCGTAGACCTGCCGGGCGTCACGCCACTGGTGGAAGGTCTGCGTGGCCTGGTTGTACTTCAGCCCCTTGGGAATGGCACAGTTTATCACCACCTGGAGATGTCCATGAGGAGCGAGTTCGGTTGAGAAAAGAGGAAACATCCTTTAGATTAGCAGTGATGAAAGAGAACTACCATGTAAATGCAATGCATTTTTAAAGTAAACCAATCAGCAACTGTTCAAAATAAGCCTGTAATTGAAGGAGCCACCAGGAACAACATGCGATCTAGACCAATACAGCTACGTTTCTGAAGTTTACTGACAGGAAATAGCCTTTTGGAAAAGATTTGGAAACATTTATTGTGACAGCATGTTTCATGACTGACCTAAGATGTTTGACTTAGTAGCACAAATACACACATAAAAGTAAAGTACTGTGGTCTCAGTCTATCAATCACTCTTCCTCTGTCAGGATACTACCTCTCCACCTGCTACCAAGCTGAGGAGCTGCCAAAATCACAAAGACGATTCAAAAACAAACTCACACTCCCTGATCTTGTCCCAGTAAAAGCCTCCAATCTCATTTAAAACAAAGTGACAACGCTGGGACTCATTATGTGGTGAAAGGTCATTCCTGCCTGCTCGTAAAGTGACTTTATGATCCACTCACTATGTCTTTATTTTGAGTTACTGAGACAGAGAAGTGCGTCTTAAACTGGGAGTACCAAAACCTGAGGGGGTTCTCCTCACTCCACCTCTGCTTTCAAGAGCATTTTTAACTGGAGGATCTTAATCTGCATCATAATCAGTGAATGTTTGGCACTGAAATGTGGGCATGATGTAAAAACCCACACACGCACACATAATTTTGTTACTTTTCATCGGATATAGCTGAAATACCCTGAAAGATGTGTAATGTGGTTTAATCTCATAATAACTGCGTCATCTCATGTCCAAACTAATAAGAAGAATCCAAAACATTTCCCTATAGGGAAAGCTTGGTCGAAAGCTTATCTTACGGGGCCTCATGGTTAGTTTGATTTCTAGAAACCCCACAAAGAGATTAAACTGTACAGAGAACCGAGAGAATGAGCTCTCAAAAAGGTAATATTTACCAAAGTATTGCTTTGGCCAATTAACAGCTAAAGTCCGTCTCCAATCCGCTAGTTTATGTTAAAAAACAAGGTCTGGTGCCAGCAAAATGTGTTTTAACCTGGCAAGAAATAATCTAGTGTCAATTTCTGTGGTTATTATAATGTTTCTCTGGCAGGCGGGAAGGGATTCACATAAACATTCTTTCATTGTTGATGGACTGGGTAATAAAACAAGCAGCCAGGAAATGTGAGAAGCAATTGAGCCAGTGTAACTCTAGATGCTTATTGTAGGTGGCAGTGAACAAAACAAACAGAGGAAATGTGCATCTTATGATAGCAGTGCCACACAAACTGAAGCTCAGAGTGTGAACCGCTAACACAAACACAGCCGGCCCGACACTCACTTCCCATTGCTTTTTTAAGTGGCCAAAGTCAATTAGTTGATAAGATCACACTTCAACCAGTGTTTGTGATTTTTGGCTATTTCTGTTTTGTGATCTCAGGATTAAGTGTGCCAGCATAATAACAAAATTCCAGTGTGTAATGTAACGGCCCATCAAAAAAGGACAGTTCTCAGATAGTGGTTGGGGCATTTATTTACCTCCAATGCAGATAGAATCAGGCATTTATTGCTAATTCCCTTCTTTTTTTAAAAATATACAGTATAGTATATATTGTGTAAATATCAAATCATTATTTCTTTCAAGTTTAAAGGCTGTTTTTTGCTCCTAGGTGAAGAAACCAGATGCTTAATTGTGGTTTTAAACTTTTCTTTATGGTGAGAACAAACACTTAACACAATAGCTCACTTAACAAATCTGAGGTAGAAAATTTAAAACAATTATGATAAACTCTTTTGTTCAACAAATGATGCATGAGTAAAATTAAGTAAATCTTTCTGTCCCTTTTCCTCAACAAATATCTTAATAGAAAAATTAAGTTCTTTTTTTGTTGTTATTGAGGAAAAGTATCTCACAATAATTATCATTATTGTTTTATTTGCCGTTAATGCTTCCTCAATATTAATTTAGAATGTAATTCACACAGATTAATGCCATACTCTCCGATCTGTTGCAAGTTTCTCTTTTTAACAGAGGTACTGTTCTCACTCATTAATTAATTCCAGTCAGTTCCACTTTGCTGCCACTGTCAGTGAAACTCACAGATGGTTCACGTTAAAAGCTTTCCGGCATACAGAACTCTCCCTTTCCTGGTTCGCTTTTAGTGTGAAACATCAACAAGAAGTGTTCAGCAGCTTAACACTGGTCACAAAACAGCAAAGACATTGGAATTAATCAGTAAATGAAACCAGAGTATTGAGTATACCAGGACGAATGAGCAACACCTGTAGTTTAAAGCAAAGCTTTGTTGTTAGAATAATGCATTTCAGCTTGTGGCCTTCAAAAGGGACACCATACAACACATTACAGAGAACATTCAGTTCTTTTAAATGGTCTATCTATTACACTTTTCCATGCACCTTGGAAGTTAGGTGAAGGTGCGCCATTAAACCTTCCTGCTATAACTCTGCTGTTGCACTGATAGAAACAGTGCTGTGGCTGGCTACAATATGACAGTTAATTAAATACCGGCTTCTATTTGAAAATGCTGAAGAGTTTTGGGCTAAAATTCACGTACTGATGCACTTGTGAGTTAAAAGCACACATACACAGTGGCCTGGGTGTAATGTACACACACACACACACACACACACACACACACACACACACACACACACAGCTGTAGTGCATCAGTCCTGCCTGGTATGTGCCTATACATTGAGGATTAAAATGTGAGCTGATCTGAGCTTCTTTCTGCTCCTATTTCCTCTGTCTTCCAGGATTCTGCTGTGCATAGGTGGATTTGTAGCCTACAGTATGTGTTCATATGTGCTTTGGTGCATGATGTGCCTGCTCTCATGTATACTGCTTGTGTGTGTTTGGAAATAAAAGCTTAATGTGCTGACATCTGCCAGATTTAGAGGAGTTGGAGAGTGGAGGAGAAAACAGTTTCAGTTGAAGGTCAGTGTCTCAATGTATGTGCGTGCACGTGAGTGTGCGTATGTATGTCAGTGTCTAATCTGGCTACTATCTTTTGTTTTCAAATTTCCTCGTCAGTTTCCGACTCCATAACATCACACAGAGGCAGTCCCAGCACACAGTGTGAGGAAACACTGTCTGTGTACTTTAACAAGCAGATGACAACAAAACACACACTGATTCTTCTCAAAAGTCGTTGCAGTCGGCTGGAAAGAAAGCCTCTTGTAAGAGATAAAATACCAACACACTTCTTTGGACATTCTATAAACTCAGTGGCTATTAAAGTTTGTGTTGGGCTCCTGAGACCCCACATGACTCAGTCCCTCATACCTGCGGACGACCGCAGATGCTTTAAACTGTATTACTTGCATATTAAATTTAACAAGCTTTGAGGTCATTATCAATTATTTACAGCACTTGGTCAACCTTGAGAGTACATATTTGTAGAAGGCAGCTGAATAGCTAGTAGCATGTGTGCACATGAATACCACACCACAGGATTCCCTGGCTATGTAGTTATATGTTGACATCAGTGGATACCTAAAATTGAATATTTTGATATACCATATTTGGTAACAGTATGCTTTTGCCATCCTCCTCTCAGATCTAATACTCTTGATGAGCTCTTGATGTGAGTGGTGTCCAGCACTGTTTCTGCCAAACATGTCACACTCAACATGATCCGTGTTTCAATAAGGACTGTGCCCAGTCTGCTACATGGGTGGCCACTGGAACGGGCCAACGTAGACTCTTTCTTATGTTATATAACACATATTCAGACGAATAGCCACTTAAAATGTTGTCATAACTTAACCCAGAAAGGGCTGCGCATTCCAATGTGTATTATACAGTATGTGTCAAGTGGTGTATTATTTGTTTCATGGTTGAATGTACAGGTATCCTCCCACATTGAATCAAAAAGATGACTTTTGGAGGGAAAAATCTCATTTTTGTGTGTTTCTCAATTGATAATGAAAACTTTGCATTCCATGTTTTCAGACATTGTCAGACCAGACTTGTTTAAACAACCCTTAATGGTTTCAGAAAACAGTGTTAACTTGTCTGCAGTTTTGATTGTGTGGTATTTTGTGGTGGGTTAACCTTTTTGTTTACATTGGGATTAGTGATTGCGCTATTAGTGAAAACTTAACACAGTACTAACTACTAATTACAAACCAATGGCTACAAAGTTCTTAAAACTGAATGATAAATCTCAGTTTAAAGGCATTAGATGGATTCATAATTATAAAACCACTGTTTTGTACAGGAAAGAAGTCTGGAGGGTATTTCAGTTTAGAATTTAAAACAGTAGTTATTCAACCTTGACTTAGCTCTTCCACAATAAATACAAACTCCAGCTTGTACAGCAGCTGTGTACATTTACTCCATACATCTAAACAACAGACTTCGTGCATTGAATGAATAAGGGTTCATGTGTGGACAGGTCTTTGGGGAAAATGCCCATGCTTGTTTTAGCCACTGACCTGATGATCTTGGATCTTGCGTCCCACTACGCGGAAGGCGTTGTTGCCCGTATGGTGGTAGATGTGGACTCTGCTGAAGCCCGTGGAACCACCAGCTGGGACCCACTTCTTATTGGCATCATCGTACACCATGACAGCGGCTCGTGCCTGGCAGATACTCTGTTCACTGCGGGAACACAGAGAGAAAATCCTTGTAGGGCTTACTAGGGCTGAATGATATGCAAAAAAATAAACATATTATTTTGACTGATATTGCAATATGAGCCAGGATTTCAGCGGTAATTTCAGCATTTAATTTTCAGTGAAAAAAAATATAAAAAACAATTATATGCGTTTTGCTGGGGTCAGTAGCAAACAATTATGTTCTCTTACGTCTGGAGAATATGATTTGCAGGCCGGCATCTCTGTAGCACCACAATACTTAATTTCCAATGGGATGTTGTGACACATTTTACCTTCAAAGAATTGTAGCTCCTGCAATTTAGATACTGCACATATTGTGATTTCAATAATATTTAGATTAATTGTTCAGCCCTAATTTCCACTGAGCTGATAATTCCCAAAAAACACAGTGTACTCTGGTTTACTGAAGGCCAACTCATGTGGCCACAGGGAGCTCATTAACAATCTTTGATTTCTCTTGTTTTGTTATTTTTTATTCTTTTGTGTGTTTTCCTCTTTGAAGTAAAACTTTCAGACTGAACACATGTTGTATTAAAGTCATAATTGTCTGAAGGACGTTCTGAACTGTGATTATAGGTACGATGGCGATGTGAGAGTACAGCCTGCCATTGTAGTTAAAGACAAAGTGACATGTTTCCCTCCTCTGGACAGCACCAGCCTGCTACACACAAAAAAAGACCCTTCAAAAAGACTGCCAGTGAACTTATGACCACTGCAGTGTATCTCAGTGGAAATCACATTCTTTGTCTTTCTGAAGTAAAAATTTTTTTCATATAACTGCATTGCCACTGTATTTTTCTCTCTTATCAGTTAGCTCATCTTCCCGATATAATCAGTGTTTGACATGGTTAAACATAATTTTACCTTTGTTATTAAACAACGCAATCTCACATTGCCTTTCCTATTAAGCAAGCAAATGTCATCACTGCTGTGATTAATCAGTTTAAACAACTTCCCATAAACCCCCGAGTTCCGCACACTCTGATGAACCCACAGCCCATTAGATCCTTCCACATTCCTTGAGGACATTTTGCTAATAATCCAGTTAATAATTCCCTTAAAATGGTACACACAGAAGAGTAAAAAAAAAAGAGAAGTGAAGAAGAGAAATAGACAGAAGAAGAATATGTGGCATAACAAGTTAAAGGAAGGCAGACACTGAGGGAAGGCTGGACCCAGCTTAAAAAAAGTTATTAGCAAGCATGTAAGGAGCCTAGCTAATAAGGAGAGCTAAGTTAATGTTAGAATGCAGCGATATAGACTGCACACGTCCAAATCAAAGCTGCAGAGGCTGAGATGGAGATATCCTGATTTTCAATCCCCAATATGGGTTGAACTAAAAAAAAAATAAACACAGTGATCATACTTTTCCCATGATCATCCCATGATACCAATAACTGTACAAGCCTGTTAAATGTCCACATTTTTCAAAATGTTTGTTATAAATTTTTAGTCTCCAATCCCAATCTGAGGTAACCCTGATTAAATCATAAGGGTGATTGTCAGACTTTGAAAATCTCCTCCAGAGACATACAAAACATCATGAATTCTTTTTGACAGGCTGTGTGGTACTCCTCCTGACGAAGATGAAAACTAACCTTTATGTGCAAAAGTGCCCTTTTAATGTGCTATCATATTAAAGTGTTTGACACCCACAGTGCACATAGTGTAACTATGCTATGGTACTGCTGTACAAGAGGACGTGACAGACCGCAGGGAGGGAAACAGTCAACTTCTAATACTAGAGAAGAACAGAGGGGGAAAAAGGGGAGAAGAAAACACTTCAGTCATATGCTTTCCTGTGTGTCACTGCAACACTGACAACCTGAATACAAGCAGGAGAGAGACAGAAAGTGAGAGGGGAAAAGAGGGAAACAGAGGGAGGGAAGACTGAGAAGCAGAGAGAGTAAAATTGTGCACAGATCCACTTCCACCGAGACGCACACCCCGTGTTGTTAAAAGTATCTGTTTCAAGGTTGGAAAAGCATTGAAATTGAGGGTCCACAATGATGAGAAAAACACTTCTGTCACCGTCAAGTGTGAATGAGGCTTGTGTGTAAACAGGCAGCTACTGGTGCCAAAGCTACTTAACATGCCTCTCACTCCGGGTTTGAAACGTCTTACTGTAAAAAGACTGAATCCTCTTGAAACAGCTCTGAAACATTCATCTCCTGTATGTACTTACAAGCGTGCACTCTACAGTACAGAGTCAGGGATACACACATGAACCATGTGTATCCATGTGAACACCAGCTCGCCCATCCAGCTTTTACAAACACTTTCACACCTCTGCTAATGTGCTTCATTATGACAGCAAAAGTTGAACTGTGTTAACACTCTGCAGCAGCTCATGAACGTTACGACAGAATCTCCACAAAAATTACACGCTGCAGTAAGAGTTAACACCTCAGGCCATATCTTACATCTGGAACATTCATTCAAGACTTGCTGCTCTAGCTGGATATTTTCACTTTTTCTACAGGCAAATTATGTAACCTTACATCTTTATTAAACTAGGCAAATGGACTGAGATCCATGTGTTTTTCACAGAGGCTCTGAGAAGCAGTGGTTAGTGGTGGTGGGGGGCACTAAACTCCTACAGAATTTATGTAGGAGCCCACAAAATTCTCCTTACAAGGGGTCTGTAAAATTTTACAATTTTACATCCCAGAGCCCCCTGTATAGTTTGATTCAGGCCTGGTGGTTCTCTTGATTGCATGCCAATCAAAGAGGGCTTCAAACAATAATGATTGTATTGCTGCATGTTTTGTTGATTGTGGTGACTTGGTTTGGTCAGATGGGATGGCAGCGTGTTCTCATGGCATGGAATAAATACAAGTTCAGGACCACTGCAGAGACCACAGCCTTTGCCTGCAAAGCTTCAAGACACACACCTTCACCGCAGGGTGCCCTGTGTCTCTATACACACATGCACATGTCTCAACAGTACATTTTTGTGTGGTGAATGTACTGTGGTTTGCATGTGTGTGGAGGGTGATTCAGCTGAAGGCCCCACTGCTCCACTTCTTCATGACTGCTGTGAGCTAAAAGCCAGAGGAATCCATCCAAAGTGTTTCGAGAGGAACAAAATGTGGCGATTTAAAGAATAAAAAAAAACAACATGAATCATAAAGAGATAATCCCCTTAAAACGTATCTGTGGAGCACAGAGTAACGCAGACATGATCAAGTTTCCTACGGTTACTGAATTACTTTGACATTTATGCTTTCCCCATTACCGGGGAAAACTGTGCAATTATCTTTCATTTACATTAATGGCAGCAACATTAACATTCCTCAGTGAGATGAGTGCACATTATGTGTTAGCGCATTGCCCCTTTGTCTTTGCAGCTACTTCAGGGATATGATGTTAGAGACAATCATGGTGTAATCAAGTCCTATTGACTCTCCTCATCTCCTTGTTAACCCTTCCACTGAACACTGAGTCCACACTACTCCCCATCAGTATCACATTATATGTGACTAACTTAATACAAGACAGAACAATCTACTAGTGGCACGAGATCTTAGCAATATTAAAATGTGATGGTATTTCTCTTTGAGGTGAAAAGCTGTCTCTCGCTATCAGAGCTTCCAACTTGGACGTTTTTGGTGATTCGTGGTGAGATCTGGCCGATCAGAAGTGTTTTCACTTAGTTTTTAACTCCTTGTCTTATCCTAACAGTCCCAAACAGTTCTGTGATGTCTGAAGGAGATAGTACCACATCAGCAGAGCAATGACATAATGTACATTATAGTATAGGGCAGGGAGAATTACAGGGGAAAATATTATGAATTCTCATTAAATGATCAGTCTAGTAATAGCCCAACTTTTTTCCCCGACATGTCAGAGAGCTGAAACTAGAGCTATTAAAGTCCAGGAGTAATAACAAAGTGGATAAAGCCATCAAGTTCTTAAAGAGGTCATATTATGCTTTTAGGCTTTTTCCCTCTCCTTTATTGAGTTATATATCTTTTTTAAGCATGTAATCTGTTTGCAAATGAAAAAGCCCAAAGTCCAGCCCAAAGGGAGTTCCCATCTCCCACTGAACTGCTCTGAACTGCCTGAAAACAGCTTGTTTGCAGTCCAGACGTTTCCCTTTGATCCCCGTGATGACACATGGATGAAAGCAAAATGCGCGTCATATTGCTCGCCAAGCGGCTACTCCGACACACCCTCAAAAACAATGGTGGAAAAACAGTGAGCTGCAGCACACAGCTCTCCCCACCCTTTCAAACACTAGCTGCCCTCAAGGCAGTCGATGGACAGAAAGTTGTTACTGTGATGTAGAGACAGAGCTCAGTTAAAATTTATGGATGAAAGATACTTTTGTTACAGATTAATTCCTCACCACTCTGAAACTCTTGCTCCAGTCCATGTTGCTAAGCTGGTAAGGGGAACATATACAGCTGAACCAAAGCAGTGTTTCCTGGCTTCTCACGACCTGCTGTAGTCCTTAACAAGCACATGTGCAACTCCCAACAAAGATCTTGCAGAAATATCTTTGCTGAGAGTTGCACGATCAAGATGCATCATTCCATAGCTAAAACAAAGCATTCAACAAACAGGGTAAAAAGAGAAGCTGCAGGAATGTGCAGTATGAAATGAATGAAAATGAAAACCTGTTCTGGTACAACCCCTAAACAAGATATTGAACCTGAAAATGAGCATAATGTGACCTCTTTAAAAGAACTCCAGCACAGAGGGAGGAACAAAAGGGAAACAGAAACAAATAAAACAGTTTGGGCCCTATGAGTAGTCTGCAGTGTTTTCACATAACCTTTTGGTATTGCCTCAGCTCACTTGGAACATCGACAGACGGGATAGAAAAAAGTACTACTTCTCCACAATAGAAAACCAAAAAAGCATGGTTGAGCCCCCCCTTCCCCTTATATATTTACTGATTGAAGATTTCTAAATAAAAGGTGATAAAATATGAGTTTCACACTGCTAGAATCTATGAATGTCATGTTTTTCAGTTTT